ATTAATCTACTACCAGGGACTCCCTAGAATGTGGAGGCTTCCTAATCGACATCCATGTTCAGGGATCGGGATCAGTCCTGTACTGGCCTCCCAGACAGCAGTCTGGGATCCATGTGCTCCCCCTTGTACAGGCCAGCTGTTTCTGTGGGGTTCAACAGCCTGGTACTGACCCCTTTGATCTTCATTTCTTCCTCTCTGCAACTATGTTCCAGAGTTCAGTTCAGTGTATATCTGTGGGTGTCTGCCTCTGCTTCCATCAGCCACTGGATGAGGGCTCTTGGTAGGGGTCAGGCCGGTCGGCTTTCTCCTTTTTTACGAGCTGCAGGATATGGCTGGTCCTAAGTACTTCTGGGGCTGGTCCTCCCCTGGTCTCTTGGGCTATAGTGCTACACTGGCGTTCTGCTGATGGAGTGAGGTTTAGGGTAAGAATTTGAGCATGACGTCAGGAGCTTTGGTTTCTAGTCATTTCTCTGCCATCATTTGCTAAGCTATGACCTTGGGTCACTCATTCACCCACTGGCCTCCCAGAGATCATCTGCCAGGTGAAATGAGGACTCTGAGTGACATGAGCTTGGCAGGGGTGTGGACAGGAGGAAGCCTGGGACTAGCAGTCAGTGTAGCTTGGTGTGTTCTGAGGTGGGGGGCTAAGGAAGAAGGGCATGAGAGCAGAGGTGGGGAGCAGGGGGTTTCGAGGCACTCCACATTTTCCTCTTTTGTGGGAAGAAGACACTTTCCCCTTGGAATGTGCCTCTTTACCTCCCACGAGCCTCAAGACACAGACCTCCAGCATGTGGCCTGAATTAAGTGTCAGACATCAGCTGCCTCTGAATCATGGGCTTCTGGGAGCTGGGAGCACACAGGGAGCATTGATAGCTTGCACACTGTCCAGCAGGCTCTGGGAAGTCTTTAGGGGTGCTCACGGAGGAAGGGACACTAGATAGCCTACAGCATCTCCCACAGCAGCTTTCTCTATCTGCCTTTTAAAGTGGACTCCTCTTAAGAGTTCTGCATCCAAACACAGAATAATTACCCATGATTCCAATGCTGTCTTTCTTTATAGAGGCCTAAAGAATTCACAAGCCAGACAGTGGGAGGGTGGGATTAGAACCGTCTGTGGCTCATTCATGCATGCATGCCTTCATTCACTCATTAATCCAAGGAGTATGCATCCAGTGTCCTCCCTGTGCCAGGAACAGTGGGGGCTATGGAGACACAGTGGAACTCAAAACACACAGGGTCCCTGTCCTCAGATCTTAAAGCTTAAGGAATGGCATGCTTAATAACATATCCTTATATCCTTCATTAGCACTTCATAGGCCACATGTTACCTTGGCAAACCATGAGATGGGTAAATCTCTAATTTATAGATGAGGAATTTGAGGCTCAGATAGGCAAAACCATATATGTGGGGCCCAGGTAGTTAGTGAACGGCAGAGCTGCATTTGAACCTCCAATATCTGGCTCGGGACTGTATGCTTGCTTGCGCATAGTATATGAATGTATCTTTTAGCCATGGTATTATCTATGAATTATCTACAAACTGTAAATATATTGTGTGGCTCATCATCTGTGTTAGTTTGCGTGCCATTATTACATAAACATAGTCTCTGCTAGTCTCTGTGTGATATACATATATACTGGGAATCTAGACATGATGAGGTCAGGGTATGGAGGCTATCAGTCATGGTTCCTAGGGAAATAATGCTGCAGTTAAAATGGAAGGACATTTGTGGACAATTGATTTTCAGCAGTGTCACCAATCTCATTTCAGTATTTCCAACATGGGAACTGCAGCAACTGGATACACACATGTTATGGTATGAAATCAATCTCCTACCTCAGACCAATACAAAAATTAACTCCAAATGTATCAAAGTCTGTAAGAATTGACACTGTAAGACTCTTGGGAGAGCACATTCTCTCAAGTCCTTGTGGCCTTGAACGGTTTCTTAAATATGGTAGCAAGAGCACAGGCAACAAAAGGGAAGTTAGATACATTGGAGATCATCCAAAAAAAAAAAAAAAAAAAAGCTCTTGTTCTTCAAATTAAACCTTCAAAAGAGTAAAGCCAGAACCCACAGAATGGAAACAATTTTTGTAAATCATGTGTCCAATAGGAGATTATATCTGTAATATTTAAAGAACCCACTTAAGATCTGGGGAGCTATGTCTCTAGATTGTGTGACTGGCCAGTGGGGTCCTGGAAAGAAAGATGACATCACTAGCCATCAGATAAGCACAGTTCAACCACAGCCACACTAGCCACACCAGCTACAAGGGATATAATTTTGAAAGAGTCAAAGTGTTGACAGAAATGTGTAGATGTTGGAACCCTAATTCACACTGGGCAATGTGGTGCAGTTTCCGTGGTGGGACTGGTAGTTCCTCAAAGGATTACGCACGGTGATCACATGACCCAGCAGTTCCATTCCTAGGAATTTTCCCAAGAGAAATGAAAACATAGCCCACACAAAAACTTGTGTAGCATTTTTCATAATAACTAAGGTGGGGAAACCACTCAGATGCCTACCCATTAGTGAATGAATTACAAGTGTGGTATCATCCATGTCATAGAATATTATTTGGCAACATAAGGTGTGAAGTACTGAAGTACAACACTGATGAACCATGAGAATATGATGCTGAGTGAGAGGAGCCAGTCATATAAGACCACAAGCTGTGATTTTATTCATATGGACTGTTCAGAATAGACAAACCCATAAAGACAGAGATATTGACAGCCTTAGTCAACAGAACCACTGAGGAGTACAGAGTCTTAGAGGGAGGGTAATGCCAATATTCTGAAATTGGTGTCAGTGACAATTACCCAATACTGAATACACCAAAATCCTGAATTGTATACTTTTAATAGATGAGAATAATAAAAATAAAAAGTGGTTAAGTTTCAAAGGTGACTGAAGAAATGTTAACCATGGGCCTGGAAGGGGTTAGGGTTTGGAGGGAACCGTTATATAAAGGCACTGGGTTGGGGAGCCTGGTGTGTTTAAGAAAGCAGAGACCACATGACAAGAGTTAATAGGACAAAAGAGAAAAGCATACAGAGAAGAGGTACCCAGAGATGGTCATGGCCCAGAAATGTCAGCAAGGGGACATGGTCCCCACGTTTGCTTGGGGTCCTGGCATCTCCCCTCTTAATTTTACCTTGGGACAGGATGCAGGATCCAGAAGAAGTCCAGGTCACTTGTCAACAATTCCTGTAAGCACCACACCTGACATGCTGTGTGGCATGAGCATAAGCCCCTCTCTCTGAGCTCTAGTCTGCATTGCCACATGGCTTTCCCTTCCTCCCTGCCTCACTGAGCCTCTGTGAGTGGGGGCCATAGCACTCCGTAAAGAAGGTTATAAGGTCACTATGCATCTGCTCAGCTGCCTTCCTCCTGCATTCCAATTCTGAGGGAGCAGGGCTATGCATCCCTGGTCTGGGCCCAGGGGCTTTGATGTACCAAGATCTGGTCCTGAAACTGAAGGGAAGATTCCCGGGCCTTACGGTCTCCCCTCCCAACATTCAGACAACAGGCAGGGATATCTAGGGGTAGAGGATCTGAGAGCCCCAGAGCTGGTCCATATCCCAAGGCCTGACTAATTGGACAGCAGTGCAGAAGCTGGGTCTTGGCAACAGCCGTCTGTTCATTTGTTCTTTGAACAAACATTGAGGCCTCCGTGCAAGCTGAGAGTTCATTTGGCTTAATACCAGCTGTGGATTAGCGGAGGCTGCTGAAGCTGGGGGAAGGCCTAAGGTCTATTAGGATCAGAGGAAGCCAAGTCAGCAAGTCAGAGAGAGAAGGGAAGGGGGCCTTCTGATCTGGCTTCCACACTGTACACACAGAATAGAACACAGACCAGAGGCCTGTGGAGCCCTCAGTCATCACAGCTACAAACCAGCCTACAGAGATGTAGTGGCTATGAGATGCTTGTCCTTCTGTTTTTGATACTGGGCATCTTTTTAAGTCCCAGTCTGTCCTAGTCACCCCAGCCAACACTCTGCCAAAAGGGCCCAGTCACCTTCTATCATTCCAACCACTCCTGTTAGGACCTGGTATCAGGGCTGAGCTCAGACCCAGGCCCCATAAAGCTATGCTTGGTGTGTCCTCATCAGTACTGTAAGCTGAGCCTGGTTCTACTTTCCAGGACCCTCTGGTGTCATCCCTGATATGCCCAAGCTGCTCTGACATCCCCTGCCTCCCCTTTCCCCACAACCACCCATTCCCTACCTTTGATGGACTCTAATGCTTGCCTGCTATCTTCAGATCTGTATACCCCACAGTCTCCCCTTACCCATCTCACCCTCCATCCTCACCTCTTCACAATATCTTCTTTTGGACATGTGACTAATCACAGTCCTCCTCTCTTCAAAACTCTTCCATAGTTCATTGCACTTGGGGTAAAATCTAATTTTTCCGCATAAGCATGACGGCCCTTACTATCTTGCTGGCTCTTGCAGTCCTGAGAGATGTTGTTCTCCAGCCCCTCCAACTGGCACTATTCCTCACAGGAGCCAGACCTCTGGATTTTCACCTTCCAACTCCCTCTGCCCAGGATTCACTCTTCTCTCTATTCAATCTATCTATCAAACCCTCCTGATATTCCAAGGGTCATATCTTCCAAAGATTTTCCCAGAGGGTGGAATCAAGGCCCTCCTATGTCCTCAACTTCTCATTTCTCCATAGGCATGAAAGCCTTGATGGTGATGGGAAGCCCTTGGAGGCTCTGGGTATGTCAGGTTCCTTGAACGCCCAGCCTTGCTTGTCTGTTTCTTACAATAGGGTGGCATTTGGGGATCTGAACCCCCATCTGAGTCTTCTAGTGTGCACTGTATCCACAGCTCTGCTGCTTGGGCCAGCACCCTAGTTTCCTTCTCCACAAAGAAGAAATGACGTGGGGGGTGGTAGGGAGCGGGGGGTTGTGGGAATTACATGAGGTGATGCATGAAGATCACTCAAAGTGGCACCTGGCATACGGCAAGAGGTATGAAAGGGTGCTCTGCAGATCCCAAGGCTCACCAGACTGTGCGCCATGCTACTCTCCTCCAGGCAGGCCATCTTCTTCACAGGGTATGTTGGTCAGGGCCACACTGACAGAAAAGCTTCAAGAGGCAGCACACATCTTGCGTATGGATGAGGAGGACCCTGGAGCCATTGTTGGCAGGCCTGCAGGAGCAAGACACACTTCATCTGCTGGGTGTCTTCTCAGGGCTGGGCCGCAGGCAGGAGGGTTCACATTCCCAAGTACCCCAGACATGGCTGATAAGGATGCCTCCGCCTCCGGTCTGGGAACCTCCCTGACTTAATCTCTCTAGATAGGGCCAGGAGGGAGAGGGAGGGGGAGAGGGAGGGCATGCTGCCTGTTTTCTGAGAAGTCTCAGAGGCAGACCTCTTGCTCAACCCCGTCTGGTGTGTTCCACTGTTTCAGCTCCTGCAGGCTGTTCCCTCCTCTGCTGCTCCCATTCACCCTTGGCAGAGCCTACCAGGGCCCGACCAGAGCTACTTGGCTTCCTCTTGTACTTTGATCAGTCCGTGAGCAGCCTGAGGAGAAGTCCTTACTGGATGGAGCACACAGAGTGGGGCCTCTCCAAACTCCTCTCTGTCCAGACCCCTTAAAACTTACCCCTCCTTCCTCTCAGCTGATTCATTCAAAACCCAGGTCCCCTGAGAGACTCTCATATGACAAACAGGGATTTATCATAAAAGTTGGTCCAAGGGCCCTAACCTGAGCTCTGCAATTCTACCTGTGACACAGAACCAGGAGGGGTGACTGCAGGTCCTGCCACCATGAGCTGCAAGGCTATCCTTGTGATCCAGTGTTGAGTCACCAGCCACCTGAGACAGTGGCTTGAAACAGTGACATTTGTTTTGCTTTCAAACCTGCCTTCTGGCAGGGTTCAGGTTCAGTTGGCTTCTGCTCTAAGTGATCTTTACTAGGCTGGGAGGAAGTCTGGTGGACAGAATCATATGAAGGACTTTTCACAGGCATGTCGCGCTGCTGAGGTTGGCTGTCGGCTGTGACTTTAGCTGAGGCAGGGGCTTTCTCACGACGGGATGTCATCATCCTCATCACCAGCCATCAGTTAAGGTTAAGCTTAGGAAGTGATGTGACGTCACTTCTGCCACATCCTCTTCATTGAGGAAATTCCAAAGGTGACAGTCCCCAGATGAGGGTTGATGGACTCCATCTCCCCATGGTGAATGATAAGGTTTCAGTTCAAAGAACTGGAACTACTCCAGAAGTCAGCTATAGAAGGTTATAGTCTGTCACAGGGGCCTGCACTCTGGGGCTTTTGTGGGTGCTTTCACTTCTTTGATGGGGGACACACTCTTCCTACTTTGGAAGCTTGGTCTCAAGTGGTGGAAGGCCAGAAACTGTACGCTGAGTTCTGGTAGCAGTGATGGACCTGCTGTGGGTGCCAAGGGCCTTATTTCCCTGGATCCCCACCACAATCCTCCTACAAGTGGGCAACACAGCCCCTATGGTACAGCTGAGGCCACCAGGAGTGGCCAGGGTGGCTGCAGTTGGAAGCAAAGTCTATGTGGCTCTGAAGGGCCTGTTCTTTTTCTTGTGTCCCCAGCTCAAGATAAACAAGCCACAGTAGGGGTGAGAGATCCACACTCCTTAGCTTCAAATGGGGTATTTCATCTCTTAGAGGCTCAGTTTCCTCATCTGCCCAGAGGTATGAAAATAACGTGTGTTCCAGGATCAGCATGGCCTCCAGGACACCCTCCTAGATACCCAGCTCTCTCTAGATAGTACATGAGGGAGGCTGGTCAGCAGACACCTGGGGAACGGCCAGCCCTACTCACCAGTGGGGATTCCCCTGTTCCTGTTGGCTATTTTTAAGCTTTGTGGGCAACCACAGAACCACATGTGGGGTTTAACACGGCCATCCGAGTCCGGAAGAGCAAGAAACTGCTCTGATGACGGAAGACAGACATCTGAGGTCAGGGTGCACCTCACTTTCTTCCTCGTTCCTCTGGCTTGATGCAGATTGCTCATTTAGAAAGCTGTGGGCCATAACAAGTGTGATAGTGTGATTTTTCCCAACTCTAGGTGTCTTCTCACCTGAGCACAAGTAAGGCTTGCCTGAAAGGAACCTGGGTGGAAGGTAGGAATAGAATAGGGCTGGCTTTTACTCACTCTGCCTCAACCTCCCCAAGAAGATGGAAGCTCACAAGAATTAGCTAGGAACGTGGATGACGGTGTGCCGTTTAACTGTAGGGAACAGTGCAGTCTGGGTCTTAGAGCTATGCCCCTGCTTGCCACATAGGTTTCTCTTACATGGTTATTTCATGCCATAATTAGAAAAGGGGGGGAGGGCTTTGAAAGCCCTAATATCAGTGCCTCTCCCAGTGCACACATGGGGACAACTTTGGGCCTAAGACATTGCTGTCCCTGTTACCTGTCTGGTTTGCTGCAGTGCCCTGGAGGTCTCTGTCCTCTTCTCTGAGGGGCCCAAGCCCCACCCATACCCCACTGAGACCCCCCCCATTCTTACTTTTTTTGGCCCAAGGAAATAATGTTCCTGAAAGTGCCACTAGCCATGGTTAGGACTTAGAAATTCCGTGATTTCCCGAGCAAAAAAGAGCTACCATTGCGTGTGCCCTCACACACAAGTGTGCACTCACACACATTGTGTGTGCACTCCCACACAAGTGCCACACGTACAGGCATAGGCGCTGGCCTTACAAATGCACCTCCCCACAGGCATGAGGATGTCCAGCACATCCTCATTCAACCAAGCACAAATGCGGCAGAACACCTTCTCATATTCCCACATCAGGATGCGCTCCCCCGCCACAGAAACCTTACATGAACATACATATGCCCCCACACTCATGCACATTAACATACTTAAGTGCATACCAATGCAAAAAGCACAAAAATGCACAAGTCTACACATATTGACATATATCCTACTGTCATACACCTTTGTGACAAGCAAGGGCATTTGCTTGAATTGTGAAATCTTGCATACCAATAGGTTCTCACAGAAACAAGGCCTTATCTGTGCAAACATGAGCCTACCTATGCATATACTTCCCTTGCATATATTCATACCCAATAACAACCAGCACAGACAGTAAACATCTCCACATGTAGACCAGCACCACACACCTGAGCCATCTGCACACACATGCAAGTCCTGTCCACACACCTGCATGCCCACACTAAGACCTTACACATGGGGGCATACGCAAACTCACCACCGCTGTTCACGGTGTGCACACACCGCCTCTTCTGAGCCCTGAAAACCCCCAGCCCCTGGGTGCGTAGGAGGTCAAGCCAGCCACCTTCCATGTAGGGTGCATGGTGGAAAGTATGACCTGAGCTACCTTTTGTAGGAAGAGTGAAGGCAGGGTGGCATTAAGGGGGGTTTCCAAGCTGTTACAGCATCAATGTGTCTGTGTGACCAGGGCTACCCTAACTGATTGCCTTCCATGGGTCCATCCAGCTGTTTGAGACATTCGGGCTCAGCTTGAGAATCAGTTTATTCTTTAATGAGGGAACCAAACCCTGAGGCTTCCTGCACGCGGACCACCCAAGGGTTAGGGATAGAGAGAGGAATAGGTCTGGGGTCAGGCTGTGGGGTGCATGACTGCAAGGAGGGATGCTGAGTGGGCCCTCTGGGAACATTAGGCATTTTTCTAAAGTCATGTCAACCTCATGATCAACTCCCAATCAAGGTTTCAAGTGGCCAGTTTGCTAGATTTAAATACTAAATGTATTAAATTTACCGCTTGTTTCCGACTCAAAAGCACACAGGGCTGGTGGGATGGTTCAGCAAGTATTGGGCTTGTTGCAAGCCCGATGACCCTAATTCAATCCCCAAGTCCCACATGGTGGAAGGAGAGAACCAGCTCCTACAAGCTGTCCTCTGATCTCCACACATGTGCCATGGGCATGTGCACACACACACAAATATAATAAGAACTCTAAGAGCATACAGCAGTTATATTAGGCAGATTGTTATTTGTCTTCATTTTGTATGCAAAATAACACTTTAAAGAATGTTCCAGAGACCAAAAGTTAAATATCAAAGAATGACTTAGTTCTGTTTTATTCATGACAGATTTTCTTTGTGTAGCCCTTACTGTCCTGGAACTGGTTTCTGTAGATCAAGCTGATCTCTAACACACAGAGATCCACGTGCCTCTGCCTCTGGAGGGCTGGGATTAAAGGTGCGCACCACCACCTGGTGTGAGAATGGTTTGGTTTAATAGAGGTACTTAATGCTTGTTCCTGGAGAGGGACTTTGGGACATCTGCCAGGAACAGGCTTCTGGGGGCCCTATAGGGACTTTCTGGGAACACTTTTCTCCAGGTGTCACATGACCTGGACCTACATTCTCCTTTGTCTGGCCCTGGGTGCTTGGCCAAGTCCTTGTTTCTCTTGGGGCCTCAATCTCTTCATGTACAAAGGATTCACCTTCTGACATTTCATGAATCCCTCCAGCAAACTTAGTCCTCCAGTACGGCTGGAGACTGAGCTGCTGGCACCAGAGAAGGTGCTGATTCTGTTGGGGGTGGCCCAGCCCTGCTGGGAAGTCAAGCTGCTGTGTCTGAATGGTGACAGGACTCCAGGCAGGGGTGGGGGGGGAGGGGATGGGGTACTGGCTATGCTGGCTGTGTGAGGGAAGCACAGGGCTGCAGGGTGGGGCTCCGCTAACTTTCCTTTCCTGGTAACGTGCCACACTAAGCTCATTTCCTTTTTCTGAAGGGAAATGCCATTGACATCACACAACTGGATTTTCAGCGAGGCCTGAGGAGAACTCGTGATCCTCTTGCAGGCAAGAAACATGCACGGTGGGGGAGATGCAAATGCACCCAGGGTTGGTTTGCAGAGCTCTCATTTGCAGATCCTAGCTCTTGCTTTAGAGATGAGGCCCCACGGGTTGGAGAGGGCCAAAGACTTGTGGGCCAGTGTAGGTCCACGGATGGAGGACAGCATCTGCCTCATCCATTTTAACAGTTGCCCCACACATTCACCACCTTGCCCAGGCAGGAACCCATCCTCTACCTGGACAAACTGCCTCCCAGCACCCTGTCCTTGCAGAAACATGCATACCTGCCCTTACTAGGCTACCCCAAGTACAGGCCTCCTTGTTCTTCTCCAGGGCAGGTCCAGCTTCAGGTCAGTTCCCCTTTCCCCCATCTTTTTCTCCAGTCCATCCTCCATTCAGCTGCTTGGTGACATCAATAATGCATAGAATCCATGAAGTCACTCTTCAGCTGCACCTTCCTAGGGTTTCTTAGGTGGGCATTGGGGGGCAACTCCATGTAGCCCCACTCTCCTCTCTGCTGCCACCTCTCAAAGGCCCCTTAGCACAGAGAATGTAGAAATAGCCACCCTTGTCACACCCTCTGCTGGGGCTCCACCTCCTACCTGCTCTTCCCTGCTGACAGTCATCTCTGTCTGCCCTCTCCCTTCCTAGGGGAAAGTTCATCTCTTGGCCTGTATATTTGAGTCTTCTACCTCCTTGAGAACAGCAATGATGCTTTACTGTGGAAAACTGCAGGCACACAACAAAAATGGATAAAGAGTCCTACACAACCCTTACCCATTTTCAACTCACAAGAATGTATGCCCCCACATTCTCCCCTGTTGGGTTATTTGGGTCAATCCAAAACATAAAGGGCTTTTATCTGTAAGTACTATGACCTGGATGGCATTCCCAGAATGCTGTTCCTTAAATAATACTAGTAATAGTAATAAAATAAATAATCCAGTCTCACTCTCTGTCTCTCTGTCTCTCTCTGTCTCTCTGTCTCTCTTCTCTCTCTCTCTCTCTCGCTCTCTCTCTCTCTCTCTCTCTGTGTGTGTGTGTGTGTGTGTGTGTGTGCATTCCTCTGGTATGTGTGTGTAGGTCAGTACAACCTGGGGAATTGGTTTGCCCCCTCCATTATATAGCTAGTGGGGATCAAACTGGAGTCAGCATCTTGGTTGCAGGAGCCTTTATGTACTAAGACATCTCCCTGGATCCTCTATTATTTTGTTGTTATTTCTTGATTGTCTCGGGGGCATTGTCTCAGACCATAGCTCAGATTGTCCTGGAACTCATTATGTAACTCAGGCTAGCCTCAAATATGAGGCACCCCTACTGTTTAAATCTTCCGAGTGCTGTGATTACAAGCATAAGCCCCCATGCCCAATTCCTATTTTTAGTAATAGCTTATAATCATTAATCTCCATATCTAATATCTAATAAATGATCTTTGTTCAAAGTTGGGCCCAAGCAAGGTCTCTGAATGAATTTGGTTTGTTATGCTTTCTGGCCCTTTTTAATACATAGTTTTCTCCTTCCTCCTTATTTTTTAGAACTTATTTGTTGAAGAAACTGGGTTATTTGGACCATGTAGTTTTTGAGTCCAATGGTGCCATTTATCACACTCTTTTATAAATATTTCTGTCTGTCTGTCTACTCATTTGTGTGTGAAGGCCAGAAGAGGATACTGGGAGTCCTGCTCTATCTTTCTGTATTCCCTAGAGACAGTTCTCTCACTGAACTAGAGTTAAGCTGATAGCCAGCAGCCCCAGCATCCTCCTCTTTGTCCTCACAGGGTCAGGGTGCAGCTGTGCAGCCACACCTGGCTTTTTACACAGGCACTGGGGACTTAAAAGCATGTCCCCAGGATTGTACAGAGGGCATTCACTCACTGAGCCATCAGCCCAGCCCTCACTTAACATATTTTTACTCCTCCCAACTTCACTGTGAACTGGGAATTAGGACTAAAGGCTTAACTCCAGACTTCAAGCTTGTAGATGCTATCCAGGAAGCTCAGCACACGCCTGAAGTTTGATGTTCTTTGGTGCTCTCAGAAGCCTTTGATCTATTGTAAGACAATGGCTTGTCTATCTGTCTATCTATCTCCCATCTATCTATTTATCTACCTATCTACTATCTACTATCTATCTATCTACCTATTCATCCATGTATCTATCTATTTGGGACAGAATCTTACTATGTAACTCTGACTGTCCTGGAACTCACTCTGTAGACAAGTCTAGCCTCAAACTCACAGAAACCTACCTGCCTCTGCCTCCCAAGTGCTGGGATTAAAGGCATGTGCCACCATGATTGGCACCAATAATGTTTTAATTTAATCATTTCTTTTTCATATATGTCAGCCAGAATGTGTCTACTGAGTTACATTTCTCTCATCCACTCTGATGTCTCTGAGGTTCAATTTGTCCAACAAAAACAGGTGAAATGCTTCGTTTCTTATTAGCTGTGTTACTGATTTTCAGAATAAGTGGGTTCTCCCTTTCAGAATAAGTGGGTTCATCCCACATGTCCAGTGTGGGATGGTGTCAGCAGGTGTTGCCTTGGGGTTTTTTATGCTGCATCTTATACGTCATCTCATGGATCTTTGATCCATGAGAATCTTTGGTTCTTTCTGCATCCTATTGACCCAACCCTACTATTATTTCACAACTTCTTCACTTTCTAGTGTGACAAAATGTTCAGACTTCAATCCTCTGTGGAGACCTGGAATCCTGCTCTCCGTCCCCCAAGAAGTTTTGTTTCTTTTTATGAAAAGTGGAGGCCAGGCGTCGGTGGCACACACCTTTAATCCCAGCACTCGGGAGGCAGAGGCAGGCAGATCACTGTGAGTTCGAGGCCAGCCTGGTCTCCAGAGCGAGTGCCAGGATGGATAGGCTCCAAAGCTACACAGAGAAACCCTGTCTCGAAAAACCAAAAAAAAAAAAAAAAAAAAAAAAAAAAAAAGTGGTATTTAGGGACCTCAGTCTGGGAGTTTGGGCGCTTTTGATGTTATTTTGTTGGTCTTGATTTTAGAGCTTTTCACTAGGAGGAGCTGGTAATTTATTTTTCTTAAGGAAACATAGCAAGAGGTAATAGCCAGGCAGTGGTGGTGCACACCTTTAATCCCAGCACTCAGGAGGCAGAGGCAGGCAGATCTCCAAGTTCGAGGCCAACTTGGTCTACAGAGTGAGTTCCAGGACAGCCAGGACTGCACAGAGAAGCCCTGGGGATATAGCTCCGTTGGTAGAGTGCTTACCTAGCATTCACAAAGCTCTCGGTTCATTTCCTAGGACCACATAAATTGGGTATGGTGGTATATACCTGCAAACACAGTATTTGGAAGGTAGAGCACGAGAGTCATATGTTAAATGTCAGCCTTGGCTATATAGTAAGTTAGAGGTTAACCTAAGCTATATGAGAATGCCTGAAAAAACAACCAAATATGGCCCAGTGCAGTGGCTCAGTAGCTAAAGGAACTTGCTACCAAGACTGATGACCTGAGTTCAATCTCCAGGATCCCCATGGTAGAAGGAGAAAACCAACTCCTAAAAGTTGTCCTCTGAACTCCACTCACGTGCCATGCATGCACAAACACCTAAATAAATGAGTGAATGAATGAATAAATAAATGTAATGCAGAATGTTATTATAAAGATCCCAACCAAAGAGTTTGTGTTGATCTTTTAAGCAATGCCTAGACTAACAAGGCTTTTACTCAGATCCTTTGGCAGCTATATTCAGTTGTCTATTCCCTAATGCTGGAAATCTTACTTCCTAACAATATTGACATGACGACTGACAGCTCGGAGGAGTTAGTTCTCTCCTGCTTCCCCTTGAGTTCCTGGGATGGCAGGCTTGGCACCAGGTGCCTTCACCCCCTGAGCCACATCACCAGCCCCAATTTTCTTTTATTCTTATGAAATACATTTTCTTGTTTCTAAAAATAGTCTACAAATTAGGTATTTTCAGTGAAGATGTTTTTACATCTACTCTTTGACCCTATTCCCTCTTCTAGAGATAATAATTTCTTAATGTTTTTAAAACATATTTTATCTATCTTACAGTCCAACCACTGTTTTCTCTCCTTCCTCTCCCCCCAGTCCCCCTAATCTCCCCTCTGCTCCCCGTAACCATTCCTCCTCTATTTCTACTCAGAGGAGGGCAGGCCTCCCATGGATGTCCACCAAACATGGCATATCAAGTTGAAGACTAGATGAGGTAACCCAGTATGAGGATAAGGGTCCCAAAAGCCAACGGAAGAGTCAGAGCCAGCTCCCACTGTTAGGAGTCCCACAAGAAGATCAAGCTACACAACTGTAACATATAAGCAGAGGGCCTAGATCTTTTTAATGAAAGAAAATGTGCACATATTTGCATATTTGTGTATCCTCTTTCCTGTTTTGATAAATGATAATGCAGCATACGTATTTTATTCAGCTTTATTCTCTCACTTGACATTGTGCCCTGGAGAATTTCCATCAGAACAGTCAGAGAGCCCCCTCCTTTTCTCCTGGGCAAATCTCCCCCATTAATGGCCCTTCAAGTTTTCATACTGCAAAGGGCCCAGCCATTATAGCTTTATGCACATGTTTTTTTTGTTGTTGTTGTTGTTTGTTTTTGTTTTTTTTCCAGTGTATCTTTGGAATCAATTCCTAGAAAGTGAGATTGCCAGGACAAAGTGTACACATATGGAATTTTCTAGAAATTACCAAATTCCCCAAATTCCCATATATGGCTCCCACCATTCTATATTCCCAGCATACAGGGTGTGTGAGAAGGCCCGTTTTCCCACGGTACTGCTGAGGGGTCTGCTCTCCGGCCTTTGGCTTGTCGCCAGTCTGATAGATGAAAAATAGCATCTTGGCCCAGTTTTAATCTGATTGTGCAGAAGACTTACAGCTTTCTATATATTCAGATCCTGATTCACTTCTGGGTCCCCAGTGCTCAGTGTGGAGAGTTCTCTCTCTCTCTCTCTCTCTCTCTCTCTCTCTCTCTCTCTCACACACACACACACACACACAAACACACACACACACACACACACACACACACACGTAGGCAAACAGATGAGGAAATGTAGTACTGATGACAGTGGTTGACTAGACCAAGGTCATATGTCCAATAGCCATCAGAGCTGGGACTAGAATTGATTTCATTTTTCTCTTTGTCCAATTTAAAGTATTTTTCTGACTAAGAAGTGAGTAGCAGTGTGCAGAAGAGAGTTTAGAGAGCACAAGAAACTGTAAGCAGGAAAATTCACCTTTTCCCCCCCTGCTGCCCTTATTTTTCAGTTTAGTTTATTTCCTCACCACTTTATTCTTTTTTTTTCAGCTTTGATTATTCCACCCATGGCTTTATACTCTTTTTATTTCTTAAAATTTTTAACCTGTTTATTTGTGTGTATGTGTGTGGGTTCTTGTGCTAAGTGCTTGTGTGAGTTCAAAGGACACCTTGTGGGAGCTGGTTCTCTCCTCTACCATGTGGCTCCCAAGGATTGAACTCAGGCTATCAAGTGTCCTTCCACTGAGCTACCTGCCAGCCCTCTGCTATTTCTTTTCTAACACTTTCCATGTGTTTAAGTCAACAATGAATTATCAGAGACAAGCTACTTGGGGAAAAAAAAACAACAGAGCTTTACTACCTCACAATTTTGGGTGCTGGAAGTCCAAGTAGTAAGGACCTGACATTGGTACAGGTCTCACGCAGAAGGTGGAGGATGGATGTGGTATGGGAGGATGACATCTGGAACAGGAAGCTGGAGAGCTAGTGTAATGGATGTTTTTTATCAACTTAACACAAACCTAGACTTACCTGGAAAGAGAATTCTTGATTGAGAAAATGTCTCCATCAGAATGGCCTGAAGGCAAGTCTATAGGGCATTTTCTTGATTAATGATTGATGTGGGAGGGCCCAGCTCATCTGCGATGGTGCTACCCTTGGACAGGTTGTCCTGGATGACATAAAAAATCAGGTTGAGCAGGCTATATGGGGCAAACCAGTGAACAATGTGCTCCTATGGTTTCTGCTTGAGTTCCTGCCTCCAGTTTCCGGCCTTGTGTGCTTGCCCTGCCTTGACAGTGTACTGCAACCTGTGAGGTGAAATAAACCCTCTCCTCCCTCAGGTGCTTTGGTTGTGGTCTTTATCACAGCAGTAGAAACCTGACTAGGATAGGTGGGTGAGCCAGGCTCGAGCTTCTACAACCTCTCAGGAGAGCTGCATTAATCCCTTTGGAGGACACATCCCCAGCAACCTAAGGACTTCATGCAAGACTTGGCCTCTTAAGCATTCCATCTGCTCTCACATCACCACCTAAAGACCAAGCTTCCAAGACATGAAACTTTGGGAGGGACAGTCAACATCCAAATCACAGATCCGGTCCATAACAACTTTGCAAATGAATGGCCATACATTGCCTTCCCTATTCCAATATGTGTCAATGTATTTCTTCTCTGTTACTGCCAAACTTCCAGATCATTTCCAGATTTTTGCTGTTATGAAAATATTCTACCACGTTGATCTTTCTTCACATTCTGGATTTTTACCCCTTAGAATTGATTCCTGGAATCCCAGCCCCATGATCCAAATTCATGGTTTTTCTTGGCCACACTCAGAGGGGAGTTGGTTAAGCTTTGCCCCGTGACTCTGTAGAGCCCCTGTCTTGGCCTGCTTCTCAGAGTCTGTGATCTCTAGTCCAGACATACTCACACCCAACATTGCTTAGAAGATGGATGGGCTGTGGCTCACCCTGAACAAGAAATGGGCCTCTCCTAGCATACACTCATATTCTCAGCCTTCCCAGGCTATAGACCAATGACCTGGGGCCAACAGGAGGAAGCCACACACAGGCAGAGGGAAACTGATAGAGGTGAAGGGCAGTGTGGATGCTGAGCAGGTCTGTATTTGTGAGCACTCACAGGGCAGAGGAGCAAATGCTGGGGTCAGACCCTCCCACTCTGACGGATTGATTGCACAAGTCAAAGATGGTGGGACTTGGGGAGGCTGCCTGGAAGCAGCAGCAAGTGAGTGTAGTGATAGGAAGATAGCTCTTGACAGATGAGGTGGGCAGTGTGGCTCTCCAGGCCAAGTCCAGAGACACTGAGTCTTATCCCACAGACAGTAAAGCAGGGCATGGCAATAATGTTCAAACTGAGAATAAACCTGAGGCTGCCAGGGATGGGGGCAAGATTTAGGGTGGAAACTGGGCAAATGAAGGAAAAAAACCTCACAGTTTGGAGACAGTATCGACAGTCTATGACAATAGGATCCTAACAAGAGGATGGAGAGGAGTGATAGAGGTGACACAGAATGGAAAAAGTTACACCAACTGTTATGGACAACAGTTTACAGACAAACCTAGAGTACCTGGATTTCAGTCTGCTGAATGTGATCTGGAATAGATCTCTTGCCTACATCCAGGCCTCTGTTTCTCCTCTTCTACCCCAAGAAGGTTGCCCTGGCTCACCTCCGAAGAGCTTTATGCCTTCCAAATCCTGTGCCCCACAGGCTGCCAGGCAGCCAGAGTTCCTGCAGGGATGAGGGGAAAGGAGCCTGATGTTGAGCAAAGAGAATGCCAGGGTGGGCTCAGGGTCCCAGCTCTGTCTCTCCACCTCATCTATCTTGCAGTGCTAATGGTAGTAGGGTGGTCTGGGCCCAGTCCAGAGACCAGATGCAGGAGAGAGGAATTGTCTCAGCTGGCAGAGCAGAGAGGAAGAATGTAGAACTTCCAAAAAGCTGTGAACAAGTTGTGGGCTCTGGCTGGGTGCCATGGACCTGTAGTGAGTCAGGGTGGGGGAGGCAGGCCCATTTCCCCTCTGTGCATCAGGCCTGCTAGACGACAGAGAGCCCAGGATGACTGACAGCATTTGAAAGCAAACTCTGCCTCTCCTGGGCTAAATAGATGTCACCTGGCTGCAGGACTAGGCAGCCTCCTCCCACCCCCACCCCACCCTCTCCACATGAACAGTTGCCATCTATAGCACAGACTGCTGTCTCTCCTTGCCTCAGCTGGTTCCCAGGATAGCTGTTGTGCTCCTTGGGCTTAGAGAGAGATGGCTGCCAGTGACCATGGAGACCTCATGCTTGCCTGTGGTTATCTGGTTAAAAACAGCCAGTGAGGATGATTCTCCTGGTGTGGGTTGGAATTCTTTTTCTTTACTCTGAATGGGACAACTTGGGTCTTGTGCAGACTGGCTTCAGAGTGCTAGGAGTGGGGAGATCATCCAAACAGAATTGGGGCTCTCTGAGGTAGTAATAATATGCCTGTGTGCTCCTCACCCCGGCCCAGTCTCAGCCCTGACTGAATCAGGCAGGGCACCCAAGTTACTGGGGCACAGAGGGAAGAGTGAGTAGCTTGGGCCACCCAGAGGGCAAGTGGCAGAGACTAAATTGAAAATAAGTGTATAGCAAATCCATCGGGGTGCAAGCGGCCCCTCAATGGTTTCTCAGGGCTCAGTTGGTCTGCCCAGTAGGGCTGGCTCTGTTCCAGACTGAGGGCGTGTGTACTTACCCATCACTGAAGCTGCTTCAGAGCTGACAAATCTTGGCCAGGACCCAAGGCTGGGAGTGTGGGTTTGAACCCCGGCTCTAAGCTTCTGGGTCCTCTGGTGGATGGGATTAGGGGCTCATCCCCCCACCCCCAGTACCTCTTGGCTTCCTTGCTGGAGGACTGGGTGAAATGAAGTGGTGCTTTTGCTAACTGTGAAGTGCTGTGGAACCACCAGGCTTCCCTTCCTCTGGATACGGTAAGCTTGGGAAAGCTGTGGGAAACAGGTTTTGAATCTACTCGGCAACAGAAGAGAACATGAATTCAGAGAGGGTTGGTGACCTGCCCAAGGTCACATAGGACTAGAATTTAGGTCTGCTTTCCCAGCCTTGTCTCTTTCCCTAGGCCCCCAGGGTTAAGATAGGTCCACCCCTAGCCTGGGGTGCCGGGGAGGCACAGCTGCAACTTGCCAGTGCCTGCTTGCACGTCCTCCAGTTTTTCGGGGGCCATTCTTCAGGGGTTCACTGAGGCGAGGCCACACTTCCCCTCAGGCTTCCTGTTTTTGCCAAACAATGACCTTTTCAGGACCTGGTGCCAGCAGGCTGCAGCTGTTGCCAAGGCCTTGACTTCTTGCAAGAGAGGAAGAAAAGGTCCCGGTCCCCAGGGATGCAACTGGCCTATACTCAGACATGGCTCTGAATTCAGTCATCCTCTCTGTCCTGGTCATACACGTGAGCACTGGGCTCTCTCAGTACCCAGAAGGCCCAGCTAGATAAGGTGTGTTAAGCAGTTCCACTGACATTCATCCTGCACCCACAAGGAGCAGGGTGTGGTGTGGCTGCAGGGTCCACTCGCAGGACAGCTCCCATTAGACTGTCTAAGTCCTCTGGTCATCCTCCTCTCATGGCCTGAAAAGCTCAGAGTAAGTCCCCATCCTTTGTGGGGGGGCAGCTTTGTTCTGAAGTCTCAGGATGTGTGGGAGAATAACCCTCAGGATGTGGGGAACAGTGGAGATGGCTTGTTCGTAGGTGATAGGGGATCAAAGTTTGGATATGAAAAGCCTGGAGTTGGGATCTGACTTTGAACTTCACAGTTCTTCAGCAGTGCTTTTTAAAAAATTATAAATGAGGCCTGGTGTGGTTATAAACATCTTTAATCTCAAAACTTGGGAAGCAGAGTTAGGCATGTCTCTGAGTTGGAGTTAGCCTGATCTACATAGTGAGTTCCAGGCCACCAGAGCTACATAGTGAGACCCTGTCTCATGGAAACAAACAAAAAACATCTCAAGCATATTTATTTATTTATTTATTTGTTTGTTTGTTTCTATGGGAGGGGCCTCAGTGGCACGAGCGTGTAGTTCAGAGGACCCCTTCCTTCTACTATGTGTGTTCTGGGACTCAAACTCATTTAAATCATTAGGCCTGGCAGCAAGTGCCTTTGCCTTCTTAGCCGTCTCTTCCACCGCTCAGCATTCTTTAAAAGTCTAACTGCAAGCCTCCTGGGATTGGAGTTGCTGGGAGGGTGTCTATGAATCTATGGGGTGGGGAGGGTCTACTGTGGATAAAATACACGGGAGAATGGCTGAAGGGGATGATGGGAGGGAGCTGATGAGGTCCATTGTGTGTTAGGCACATAGAGATCCTCATCCCCACTCCACAGCAAGTGAGCGGTGCCCCATAAAAGAGTCCTTGGAGCTGAGAGGGCATAGCCAGTGCAGCTCTCATCCCAGGCTCCATTCTGCAAGGCTTCTTTCACTCCAGGCCTCCCCCCAAGAAGGGTTGTATCCTTCCATGTCCTACTGTGTCCAACCTAAGCACTAATCAGGACTCATGCTCAGAGCCAGAACTGCCCTGTCTCTCTGCCTGGTTTGCTATCCCCAGTATCACCTGGCCACATGCCTGAGGCAGCAGAACGACTTTGCAAGACTTGCTTCCCCTAGCTGGGATTGTTTTGGCCTGTGCTTCTGTAGAGACAATGAAGAGGCTCCCGAAGGCTGGCACAGGTCCTGTCACACTCTCTTCTCTCAGGACAGACTGTCCTCTGGCCTGCCTGGGGGGGCCTGGGGGAATCATAGCATTCCTGCTGAGGATCTTGGGGAGCAGTGGCCTGGTCTCAGGTTTGTCTGCCCACTGCCAGCTGGCCTAGAAATGCTGGAGACCATGGAGTAGAAGATGCAAGAGGCAGAGACTGTCCTGCTGGGCTTTAGGGCTTCCGCCAGTCCCCTGGTTAGTCCCTCTTGCTTCAGTAGCAGGAACAAGCCAGGAGGAGGGACACTAGTCCGATACTGTTACAGTTTGCCTTCCTTCAACAGCAGAATGTGGGGCTGGGGTGGCCCAATTGGTAGACTGCTTGTCTAAATGCAGGAAGGCCTGGGTTCTCTCTCCAGCACCACATAAACTAGATGTGGTGGTTCATGCCTGTAATGCTAGTATTGAGAAGGTGGAGAGAGAAGGATCAGCAGTTCAAGGTCGTCCTTGGCTACATAGCAATTCAAGGATGGCCTGGGCTATGTTTGATCCCATCTCAACATACAAACAGCCATCTACTTCTAGAAAAAGCAGAGTATAAAACGAGCTTAGGTGCACGAGTTGCCCATGAGGCAGGAGTAAGAGGGTCAGCAGAAGGGACAGGGGAGGAAGAAGCCAATACCAGGGTGTATTTTGCCAGTCTCTACTTGGGACAAGGGGGCTGTATTCCTCCATCACCCTGAGAAAGCCACAGAATGCATCTCAGAATCACCAGTACACAATGGAAGCTGGAAATGGACTTGCTGCTTCCAGTCCCTCCTGGATGCAGGGCATCTGGACTGTTCTGCCCACCCAACCTCCTTCCCATGATGCCAAAGAGCCCAAAGCAGCTTTGGAAACTTCAGCACAGGGTAAGGGTAGAACACAGGTTCTGTGGGCTGAGCCTGGACTTGTAAGGAATTGCTCACCCCAGCTGTGGCTTACATCCAATGCCAGCTGAGGTAGCTATGCAGAAGCGTCCTTAGTGTTAGTCTGAGGGGGTGGCTGGAGCTCAGCTGAGCATGAATACAGGGTGCTGAAGAAGAGGCTGTGCTCAGAGTAGGACAAGCATGGGCTTCTCTGTCAGAATTCCTGAGTTCAAACCTTGCTCCACATGAAGCCCATACCATCCTGGAGCCATGGTGTCCTCAACTAGAACATAGGGACAACCATATTTACCATATAGAAATATTTATGAGGAGCCAGGGGGATTAATAGGTAAAGTGCTTGCCATGCAGACATGAGGACCTAAGTTTTATCTCCAGAATCCATGTCAAAAAGCCCCACATTAAAAGGCCAGGTGTGGTGGCATGTGCTCCTAGCCCTAGAGCTAGGGAGGCAGAGACAGGCAGATCCCCGAGGCTTGCTGGTCAGTGAGTCTAGACTAATGGGGTGAGCTTCAGGCCCACAAGCATGACTGCTGGACTCTCTATGCCTATGCGACCACATGGGCAGTATGAAGTTGCACATACATGCTCCCACATAAATGTTTATGAGAATCAAATACATCCCTAGAAATGAATGTTCCTGGCGGAGTCTGATGTTGGATGCCATCACCATCAGTTCCTTTCCTCCCATGTGAAACTAACAGCCTGACTCATTTCACATCTCATCCAGGCCTACTCCCACCTCCTCCAAGGCCAGGACCTGTATCACCTATGGGACCCAGAGCCCTGGGTCCCAGGTTGGCCAACACATCAGCAGTTCAGCCCCCTTATTACCCTACAGAGGGCAGAAGTCAAGTGTCATTCCTTCACCTGTCTCCCTGTCCTTTGGGTCTGGGACTGTCTGTTGGGGAATGAGTCTACTTGTCCCCTCAATTTCGTTTGTTGCAGTCCAAACCCCCAGAGCCCAGTGGAAACAGAGTCTTTGCAGGTGGGGATGGGTTAAGGTGAAGTCATGCTGAAGTAGGGTAGGTGTATAATACAGTGCCTGGTGCATTTTTAAAAGTTTGGGCAGAAAACATGTATATCAGAAGGCCCTGTGTAGAGTAGGATTATTTCACCACCAGTTAGGTGATCAGAAACTAGAAGGTGCAGATCCTGGTTAACACCTTGATCTTGAACTTCTCAGCCTTCAGAACTATGAGCCAAGCAGTTTCTGCTATTTTGTTACAGTAGCTAGCACACTATTTGAAAAGACAAAAGACAGTTTCTTTTTCTGTTGCAAATATAATGCTTTCCTCCTCATTTGCATCCAGCCTTTGCATCTCTTCCTGTATTCAACCATCTCTTTGATGTAGTGGAGAGCCTGGAGGTGGAGCCTGGGCTACTGTTGAGGGTGTATCTTTGGCCTCAGAGCAGAGCCAGTCCGCAGTAGGCACTGTGGGGTGCTGGAGGAGTGCTGAAGCCCTCCA